TACCAAGACCTCCAAAAAAGAGCCAGTTCCTCGGATGTGCCCCCTCACAGAGAGATGAAGGGGTAAGTGAAGAAGAGGTAGGGTCTGGGATGAAGGACGGGTGGCTTGGGAGTGCCAAATGGCCAAGAGCACTGGCTGTGGAGTCTGGCAGGCCTGTACTCTTACCAGCTGTATGATTTGGTAAGTTCACCTGGAGAGTAGAAGCAGTGCTATCTACCTCATAGTGCTGTTCTTAGCACTAAGGAAGACAGTGCATGTGTGCTTAGTGCCTGTAAACACAGTAAACAGTAAATACTAGTTGTTGATCTAACTTAACTCTGCATCTGTTGGGAATACCAGTTAGTTTGGGAGGTGTGTGTTACTTGTGAGCTTCTCATTCACTTCTTCCTGTATTCTTCCTTTGTCCCTTCACCACAAACAGGCAGCAGAAAACAGCTGAAACGGAAGAGGGGACAGTGCAGATTCAGGAAGGTAAGTGTTGGACATAGAACCAAGACCAAGAACGGCCATGACTCCCTTCCTCCCCTGCTGAGCTGTCACCTGTGCATCCTTCGCCTTCAGTGACATGCAGGTGGGACAGAGGGAGAAAGGCAGTTTCCTGTGTTCCTTAACTCAGGTGCAGTGGCTACTGGGGAGGACCCAACCAGTGTGGCTATTGCCAGCATCCAGTCAGCTGCCACCTTCCCTGACCCCAACGTCAAGTACGTCTTCCGAACTGAGAATGGGGGCCAGGTAAGGGAGGGGGCCAGGTGGCTGCAGGTGTCATCTGGGGTTGGGGTTGAGGGAGGGAACTGAACATGTCCTGGGGAGACCTGGCTTGGAGGATGAGGTGAAAATGTGGACTGCTATGGAGGAGGGGACATTAATGGACTCTGGTGTGAGGTCGGGACTTGCTGAAACCTCTGTGTGGGGCAAAAAGGGAGGATGCTGCATCTGTGTCTCTGGAGGACCCTTGTTTTGGGGCCCTATTCTAGGGAAGCTTTATGAGGGGCCCTGGTATTCCCAACACTTATTCTTGGCTTCTCTCTTCCCCTCCCTTTGCCTTCCTTCCTGCTTCTAGGTGATGTACAGGGTGATCCAGGTGTCTGAGGGGCAGCTGGATGGCCAGACTGAGGGCACTGGCGCCATCAGTGGCTACCCTGCCACTCAATCCATGACCCAGGTACAGGGGTGTGGGCTGAAGAGTGGACTAGAGCTCTAAGAAGATGAAGAAGGGGAGCCAGGAAGATGGGGGTGAAGCTAGGGACAGTGGGGGACCTGGGCTATCTTGTCCCAAGGCACTAGGCTGTCCTTGGGGAATGTCTGTCTCTCTCTCTCTCTCCTCCCCCCTAAGGGGTAGAAGGTTTAGAGTGGCACAGGAGGAAGAAGTATCTGACTGTCACCAGAATCTGTCTTTTGCTCCCCTTCCCAGGCGGTGATCCAAGGTGCTTTTACCAGTGATGATGCAGTTGACACGGAGGGGACAGCTGCTGAGACGCACTATACTTACTTCCCCAGCACTGCGGTGGGAGATGGGGCAGGGGGCACCACATCGGGCAGTACGGCTGCTGTTGTTACTACCCAGGGATCAGAGGCACTGCTGGGGCAGGCGACCCCTCCTGGCACTGGTGAGATGTCCGCAAGAATGCTGGCTGGAGGGGCTGGAGTGGGCTGTGGGACTGGTGGGCAGTGGGCCTTCACTCATGACTCTTAGTGGTGATTAAGACCTGGGCAAAGGCTGGGCACAGTGGCTCAAGCCTGTAATCTCAGCACTTTGGGAGGCCGAGGTGAGAGGATTGCCTGAGCTCAGGTGTTTGAGACCAGCCTGGGCAACTTGGCGACACCCTGTCTCTTAAAAAACAAGCAAACCAAAAAACCTGGGCAGACAGTGAGGTTAGGGCTGCCTTTCTAGCATGTTCGTTTCAGAGGAAGGGCCCAGGGCCCTCACCTTGGCTTGATGAGGTGCCTAGTCCCGTGTCCTGACAGAACCTGCCCTGCGTCTTCACAGGTCAGTTCTTCGTGATGATGTCGCCACAAGAAGTACTACAGGGAGGAAGCCAGCGCTCTATTGCCCCTAGGACGCACCCTTACTCCCCGTGAGTGACCCTTGTTTCTCCTTCCTTTCCGTGAGTGGTTTTTGTGCCTGCTAGTTCTTGTGTAGTCCCTTACCCCAATGCCAGTCACATTTTTTATCCTGCCCTTACTCTGGCCACCCTGGGCTCTGTTCTCAGGAAGTCAGAAGCTCCCCGGACTACGCGGGATGAGAAACGCAGGGCTCAGCATAATGAAGGTAGGTGGCATCCAGGTGCAGCACAGAACCGTCTGGTGATGTCTGAGGGGACGAGGTGTTAGGTAATTTTACCCTAGGGCTTGTGGTGATTTTTCTGAGTCACCTTGTCCTCCGCTTTGCCCCACAGTGGAACGCCGCCGCCGAGACAAGATCAACAACTGGATCGTGCAGCTGTCCAAGATCATCCCAGACTGCTCTATGGAGAGCACCAAGTCTGGCCAGGTCATGGAAAGACCCTGGTAGTGGGCAGGATGCCTGAATTCTGTCTCCTGGTATTGTTTCCAGAAATGGTGGAGCATGGGGCACACATGGCAGTAGTCTCTTCTCGTCCCTCTGAGGTTCCTGGATCCCTGGGGGTGTCAGACCACGTCCTTAGGGGAGAGTGAGGCCCGAAGTGCAAGTCTGCTTTTGGAAAAGCAAGCGAGCTGTCTTAGTCCTCATCCTCACTTGGTTGGCCTTGTCTTGCAGAGTAAAGGTGGGATCCTGTCCAAAGCCTGTGATTATATCCAGGAGCTCCGGCAGAGTAACCACCGGTTGTCTGAAGAGCTGCAGGGGCTCGATCAGCTGCAGCTGGACAATGATGTGCTTCGACAACAGGTCAGATTGCCTCCCAAACCCCACCCCGTGTGGCCCTGCTCAGCTCCTGTAGCCACTGGCCCATGGTGGGACCTCTACTTTGTTCTTCAAAGAGAGGGCTTCGCCGGGCTCGGTGGCTCAACTTGTAATCCCGCGCCTTTGGGAGGCTGAGGTGAGTGGATTGCCTGAGCCCGCGGGTTCGAGACCTGCCTGGGCAGCAAGACCTCATCTCTACAATAAATCAAAAAATCAGCCGGGCGTGGTAGCGTATGCCTGTAATTCCGGCTACTCGGAAGGCTGAGGTGGAAGGATCGCCGGAGACCAGCAGGTCGAGGCTGCGGTGGCTGGGAGCGGCCACTGCACTCCAGTCTGGGCAACAGAGTGAGACTCCAACTCAAAAAAAAAAAAAAAGAGAGAGGGCTTCACCCTTTCCCCCTCACCAGTGGATATGTGTGAGGGGGTTCGGGGGCTTGGCGGTGCCAGCTTCACTGCCCATTCCTCTTCCTGCCTCCTCCTGTCAGGTGGAAGACCTTAAGAATAAGAATCTGCTGCTCCGAGCTCAGTTGCGACACCACGGATTAGAGGTGGTCATCAAGAATGACAGCAACTAACTATGGGGGTTCGAGGGCTTTGGGCCCAAGAACTGCAGACAGCCCAGGAGCATCAGCCTAATCCCGTGCCCCTTTCCCTCACTGCCCGCTTCTGGCATGGGACTGGGGGTTCAGGAGGCGTGTCTTTGAACCAAGGCCCTGCCGTGTGTGAAACACACAATGTGGATGTGCACTGACAGCCCTGCCCACCCCCACCACGCGGCCCCGGGGCCCTTGTGCTCCTTGTGCACAGTGCATGTGCTGTCTCCATGCTGGATACTGGACACACTAAACTGGGGGGCTGCCCTGTGCTTGCTTAGCGTGCCCAGCAGAGGGTCTGCTGACAGGCGATGCCCTGGCTCGCCGCAGGACTCTGGCACCTCCATTGGTTCTTCCTTTCCCTGGAGTTGGATTAGATGTGCACCGCAACTCAGGGGAGCAGGCTTAAGCAAGAAATGGGGGAAGGATGCTTAACAGTGGCTGGTGCCAGGAAGAGGAGGTTGGCCAGCGAGAAGCTGAGGTCTGCGCAGAAGTCTCCGGAGCCAGGGAGAACAATAGGCAAGGGTCCACTTGGGGCCTTCCCCCTTATGGGGGTGTCTTTTTTTTTTTTTTCCTTTCTTTTTTTAAAGATAAAATTGTTCAGAACCACAGTTGTGTCTTTTCCTTCTCTTAGTGGGCCCCAGGGCGGAAGGGAGGGGGGTATATTGCTCTTTGACCAGTAAGGGCTGGGCCTAGTTTAGGGTGAGGTGCCACTCCTGTATTCATTACCCTGAGTCCTGCTACCTGGGCCAGACCGCTGCGCCGTTTCCGGCCCATCCCGGGCAACCGTAAGGACGTCTGGGGCGGGGATCGGGGGAGGCGGGCCTGGTGTTAGACGCAACGCGAACAGGTGCCGCGGGAGGCGGGGCCTGTGCTTCCGGTTCCGGGCTCAGCTCGGGGAGCGAGGGGGCGATGCTGCAGGCGCCGAGGGGCCGGGCCGGGGCCGAGGCCGCGTTCCTGCGACTCGCCGTCTGCGCGCGCACCATGGCCGGAGGTACCCGCGGGGGTCCCGGGCTCTCGTACTGTTCTGCTCGCCGCCGCGGGAGCGCGCG